TAAAACTCACCAATAAGAAAACAAAAAACCCAATTTAAAAAGAGGCAAAAGCTCTCAACAGACACTCATGGAAAAGACATACAGATGGTGCAGCCCCTTTGGGAGACAGGCTTGGCAGTTTCTCACAAAGCGCAACTCTCCGGTAAACCAGCATCGTCCTGAACCGTTTGACAGAGTTCACGGGGAAAGCCAGGCCACCTGAACGTTTCCTAGTGTGCAGATTTTAAATTATGGCTTCTGAGTCTTTAATAGGATTTTTCTGACTTTCTAGTTCCTCTTTAATAAGTTGTATTTTTCCAGGAATCGTGCATTTCATCTAAGTTTTTAAGGGTATTGGCATAAAATGGCTCCTAATATCTTGTTGAAATCTTCGAACATCTGTAGGAAACTCGCATGCCCTCTCTCATTCCTGATGCTGGTTATTCGTGTGTTCTTTCTTTTTTTATCACCAGTCTCAACAGGGGTCATCAGCCTTGTTAGTTTTCTAAAAGTGGACGCTGGTTCCATTCACTCCCTCTACCGTACGGTTTTCCTATCCCACTAGTTTTGCTCTTGATTCTTCTCTTTCTGCTCCTCTCCTTGGACTCAGTTTCCTGCCCCTCTCTATGGCGGGGGCGTCAGCGGTGGACGCCCTTCAGCTCATCTCACATGTTCACATAATTAATCCCAAACTCTGTTCTCATTTTCACTAGAGCTTCTTCTTTGAACCAGGAGTTATTCAGAATCGTGTTTCTCAATTTTCAGACACAGGAAGATTTTACATTTCATTTTTATTTCTAGTTCAATTTCACTGTAATTTTCAATCCTTCCAAGTCTTGTAGAGACTTGATTTCAGGATCCAACATGATGTCAAATTTATATCTGGGTATATTTGAACAGACTGAATAATCTGTGGGATTTTTTTATTATTATTATGTTATGTTAGTATTCTGCGGTTGTTTTGTGCTGTGCTCTGTATGTGTCAATTAAGTGAAGTTTGTTAGGCAGGTTGGCCAAATCTTCTGTGTCCTCGCTGATTTTGTCTGTTTGCTCTATCGGTTACCGAGACATGTGTCTAAAATCTTCTATGACAACTATGGCTCTGTTTTCTCCTCTAGGTCTGCCCACTTTTGTGTTATATTTTGAAGCATAGTGTTAGGGACATACAAATGGGTCTGGCCAGAGAGCCCATCGGGAAGGCCGGCAGCGCTCCCGAGGCTTGCCCCGGCGGCTGGGCGGCGCAGGCCCCGGCACGTTCTGCAGGACCTCAGCAAGGGAGAACATGCAGAAGGAGATCTCCTCGTAGGAGACCCTGGCCCCACTCTCATACAGACAAGCAAAGGTCAGGGCTCCCTTGAGGGTGGGCCCGATGGATGCCAGGTCAGAGTAGCCGCTGGGGCCCTCATAGATCACCCAGGGCTCTGTCCAGCTGTAGGGGTCCAGGGGGGACTGGCTCAGGTGGATTCCCATGTGGAGTCGAGCCCTGCGCCCCGCCGGGTGGGAATACAGCAGCCAGGTGGGGCTCTGAGACAGGGTGGCAGGGGGCCCAGGGAGACTCGGAGCCCAGGCGTCCCTGGTCTCACTGAGCCCAGGCTCCGGGCCGGGCTCCTCAGGGCTGTCCTTCCACCCCTCCATCCTGCCAAGCCCCTGGTCCCCTTGGGTGTCTGCAGTACCCTCCTCTGAGGGTTGCTGGACTCCAGGACAGAGGCGTGGGGACTCGGGGTGGTTCCTGGCACCTGCCGACCATCCCTCACCCCTGGGCCTGCCGGAGAGTGGGGCAGGGAAGCCCAGGATGCTGCCCTGGCAGCCCCGGGCCGTCTCAGCCAGCGCCGGCACGAGCTCCCCAGGCAGGAAGGAGGCGCCCTCATCTGCGCTAAGCGCCTGCACGCGGCGGCCCAGGGGGCTCCGGGCATTGCAGTAGAGGATGCTGCCAGCCTGCTGGCCATCCACCGCAGCCAGCTGGCACTCGCCCGAGCGCAGGTTGGGCACAAGGCCTCCACGGTGCCAGGTGCGACCATGGTCGTCGCTGTAGAAGGTGAAGGCATGGGGGCTGGTCCTGCAGATCTTGCCGAAGCACTCCCGCCGGTCCACGCGGTACGCGTAGGCTGGCACCAGCAGACGGCCTGAGCGCAGCTGGATGCCATGGCCCGGGCCAACAGCGAACGTGGCCCAGTCTGCAGAGGAGAAGGCCTGCGGTCATCCCAGCAAGGAGACAGCCATGGCCGCAGCCGGGCACCATCTCCCTCCCTGGGGGCTGGGGAGGGTCCACAGCCAGTGCCTCAGATTAGGGGACAGCTCCTGAGGGAGGCACCCCGGGTTGTGCCCTCACCCCCCACTCCTGCTGGCCACTCTGGATCGTCCAGTGCTGGACAAGCCTCTCTCCAGCATCAGCAGGAGCCGGGAGCCCAGGCAGGCTACTTGGCCAAGTTCTCAGCTCATGAGCAGGTAGCTAGTCCCTGCATGTAGATGGACAACCATCGACATGCCCAGTGTGAGCACTGTCCAGACAGGGGGGCAGCCAAGGGCGGAGGGGGTATGCAGACCTTCAGGGCGGGCTTGAGCCCTGGGCCTGAGTCCCGTGGAGTAGGGTCCACAGGAGCGGACAGTGCTTTAGACCAGCTCTGTGTGTCCTGTCCATGCCTCAGAGCCTGCCACACCCCTCAGCTTAGATCCCACCTACAAGGGTCAGGGTGACCCCTGGGTCAGCGTCCCCACGCCAGAGGGCAGTGGGTAGTCAGGCCCCTCAGCAGGAGTGGAGGAAAAGCTTTAGGGTCAGGCCACCTGCGCAGCCCTGGACCCTAGGCTGGACACCCCTGGGTGGGGGACGCCCCTGGGTGGGGCAAGAAGGCAGAGGGCAAGTGGTGAAGGCGAGGAGCCAGTGGGGTTGGGGTGCTAAGAGGGAGGGGCCCCAGCGCTCAGGCAGAGACGGTCTCAGTGAGATGAGCCTGCTCTTCAGGCCCAGGGAGGGTGATCAACACCCACTTACAGGACTGAGGGGTTCAGGGAAACGCTGTGGTGGCCCTTGGCTTGGGGGGCGGAGTAGGCAGCCCCGTGACCTGTAACGGACCCTTTCCCCGGCCCCCCACCGTGCGGACCCCGGACCCAGTGCGGATACCACCACGCCACTGTGCAGACACCTCCCGGCAAGACCCCGCCCGCCGCTCTGCGGGCCCCCTCCCAGTGCAGACACAGCCAGGTGCGGACCCCAGCCCCTCCCCTGGGAGGCCCGCCCTGCGCCCCTGTGAACAGCGCACCCGCCCACCCACACCCCGCCTACCCTGCTCGGCGCTGCCCACCGCCTCCTCAGTGAGGTCCCTGGCGGCGTCCCAGCTGCGCCCCGCGTCTCGGCTGGTCACGCAGCAGAGGCGCGCGGCGTTCCTGCCCGTGGCGATCTGCGTGGCCTCGGGTGTGCGGCCCCGCACCGCGATGAAGAAGAGAAAGATGGTAGCCGTGCGGGCGTCGTGCACCGGGCAGGGGTTCATGGACCGGTGCTCCTCCAAGGCCGCGGTCCCCAGCACGTGCGCGGCGCCCCACTGCCCGGGGAGGGAGGGCGGGCGGCCTCAGTTTACCTATGCGCGCGGCGGTGCCCCGCCTGCGCCCTGCCCGCGGGGCGCGCCCCGGCCACTCACCCGCACGGAGCCCCCGGCCAGCGTGCCGCTCCTCTGCACCAGGCGGTGGGCGTGGGCATCGTCGGGGCTGAGCCGCTGCTCCGCGAAGGCCAGCAGGGTGGGCGCGGGGGGCACGGGCAGCAGCGCGGGTACGCGGTAGGTCAGGCCGCTCCTCTCGCGCTGGAAGAGCACGGTCCGCTCGGGGACACGCGGGGCCTCCATGCTCTGCCGAGCGGGCCCAGGGCCCCGGGGTCAGCAGACCACAAGGTCAGCGGGTGGCGCGTGCTCGCTCCCCTCCTGTCCGCCTACAGTGGGGAGGGGGCTCTGCCCGTGCAGACACCCCCCACCCCGCGTGCCTCCCTGTGCCTGCCTCCTCGGAGACCGCGCCATCCCCGGCTCCTCATCCCAAGACCAGGGCAGCCCCTAACCCCCTCCCTCCCTGCCACTGCACCCCGGAATGTCTGCAGTCTGCCCTTCCTCCTCTCAACCAGGTCCCCGGAGCAGGGGCTGCCTGGCCAGAGTCCCCTGATTCTGCCCACCCTGTTCCTGGGACACCAGCCCAGCAGGACGCTGGTGGAGAGGACAATCAGGGCCCAAAGTTTTGGACACTCAGAGGTTCAGTTTCCCCAAATAGGGACCCGATGACCACAGGCCGCGCAAGCATGGGGAGACACAGACACACCAGACACACAGAAAGAAAGTGACACAGGGAGAGACCTAGGCTCGAAACAGAGGCGCACACAGATGCATGCACATTCACCATGCGCAGCCCTGGGAGACAGAAAGACGCTTGCATTCCACACACTCGGACACACACACTTCTTGGAGAAGGTGCCCCAGCTGCCGCTACCACCCTTCTTAGCGGGGGCGGCGGTGGGGGCGGGGTTTGTGGGATTCTTGGGAGTGGCCAGGAGGGATGGGGCGGGGGAGTGGCCTGCTGAAGCCAAGAGGGGAGCGCCAGTGGGACTCCTGCAGGGAAAGGGCCCAAAGTCCAGATCCTAGCAGGACATCTGCGGGTGCAGGGAACCAAACACCCTGCCCCTTGGGCTCCTGGGCAAAGCTGGGGGTCATGGGAGGTCCAGCAGAGCCACCCCACCCATAGGTGCCCCAAATGGCTCCCACATGTGCCCCGAGGGAGCTAAAGGCAGTGCAGGCCAGAGGAGCAGTGACAGGGACCCCAAGGAGGCCAAAGACGCCACCCACCCTGCTGTCCTGCCCCACCCCCTCCTGGCAGAAAGGGGGGCCAGGGCACTCTAGTCTGTGCACTGGGGGTTGCCCTTGGAAAGGAGCTTCTCCCCACAGTGATGGGAGGAAGATAAACACCCCCAGTGCCCGTCTGAGCCCCGGCAAGCTGCTGCCCACAGAGGCCAGAAGCCAGGCTGGGGGAGGGCGTGCTGAGCCTGGGGGCTTCCAGGCTGGGGGAGGGCGTGCTGAGCCTGGGGGCTTCCAGGCTGGGGGAGGGCGTGCTGAGCCTGGGGGCTTCCAGGCTGGGGGGGCCTTCCTGGAGCCAAAGGCTAAGAGGGGATGGGGAAGGGCAGAGAGGAGACCACATCCCAGGCACCAGGGGAGCCCTGGCTGGAAGGACCCCGGGGGAGATTCAGCAAAAGGACAAAGAAGGCCCTTCCCGCTGCAGTCCTGGCCCCTCTTCCACAACCCAGGCCCCAGCCGCTCCCGCCCCTGCGTCCCATGCCCCTACACAGCCCAGCTCCCTGAACCTCGGCTGGTCACCCGGCCCTCCCTTACCACAAGTCAGGGCTCCTGTAGGGGTAACGGGCAGCGGCCTAGGGCAGCCTTTCTGGAGGTAGCCTCACTCCCGGGAGTATGCTCCCAAGGGAGGCTCATGAGGGGGCATATTTGGGGTGCACCTGGGGTCTGCAATCCACCAGATGGCGTCCTCTTTCTCTAATTTGCACAAAGGCAAATGTGGGCTGGCCCGGCCCCCTGGAGGGACGTGAATCAGGGAGCGCCCTGGTGGTCCTGCGGGCGGCAGGCAGTAGAAGTTGGTAGAGCCACATGCCAGACTTGGAGCAGGCAGAGCCCGTGGCCAGTCACTGGACGGTGACTAGCACACAGCACCGAGGGAGGAGGGAGGGAGAGCAAGACTCTCACACATCGTACTCAGGAGCCTCACTCTCAGAGCTCAAGCCCCTGCACACAGGGCATGGGCAGCGCGTGTCAGAGGAGTCAGTCGGGATGGACAGGGGCCGGCCGGTGACGGGAACGAACACCCCTAAACAAGAGTAGCCTTGCTCAGACACGTGGGAGGGTGTGCTGCCTGGCTCAGCCTCCACTCCCAACATCCCCAAAACATGCAGACACCTCCACCTCTGTCCACCTCTGCCCAAGGCCACCTACTCCTGAAAGGCTCTCGTGGGCAGCACATTGGCCCACTCCACAGCCCGCTGAGCCCAGCAGACCCCCTGCCAACCTCAGGCCTGCCCCTACCCCCACCCCGCCACAGCCTCTGGGGCTTCAAGAGCAGCTTGGTGTGTCTGGAAGCCCTGGGCTCCTCCCCAGTCTGCCTCCAAAGGGCAATTGTGCCCCAGAGCAGGAAGCAGCTGCAGCTGCCGCCTGTCCCTCCAGGCTGGATGGACAAAAGGGGACATTCTCTGCCCTTGGCTTACTCCGCAGGGCCGGAGCCACCTGGACTGCTGTCAGTGAGAGCAGGGGGTCCGGGCCCACCCCTGCCCAGCCTGCAAAGCTGCACAGACCAGCTCCTCACTCTGCCCACTGCACCGAGCAGGACGAGGGCACCCAGCGCCACCCTTGCCTAGGCCCCAGGTCTCTGCAGAGCCCCAAAGTCCGGGGGAGACCCCCCGAATCTAAGAGGAAGAGCAGAGCCTCATGGGCAGCTGGCCCAGTTTGGCCAAATCAGCGGGGTCCAGGGGTTTGGCTTGACCAGGACGGGATGGCTGTGTCCCAACATCCTGTGTGGACTCCACCCTGGAGCCCTCCGGAAAGCCCAGGTCCCCCACCTACAGCCTCCGGGTGAGCACAGCCCCTGTCGTCTGGCCTGTAGGGCACTTAAAGGCCCGTGTGTAAAGAGCAAAGGGCTTTGAATACAAGTTGGGCAGAGGGGCCTCCTGGCTCTGTCACTTCAGGAAGGGTCTCCAGTCTGACCTGAAGGACCTGTGCCGTGTGAGGGGCCAGGACTCAGTTACAAAGCTCGGGCCTGGTGGAGCGGAGCCCACACACCCGTCGGCTCCCACAGGCCCAGTGTACATCACCCAACCTCTACCCCTGGGGCCCTTCCGCACCCCTGCCCCTCAGACCAGGCAATGACCCCACGGGGGGCTTCCATGTGGAGCCTCTGGCTGGACAGCCCTCAGTCCATGCATCCTGCCCTCGGCCCGAAGAAGGGCAGCCAGGGAGGGCAGAGGAGCCCATTTCTGGCCCTCAAGGGCTGGGGTGCAGGTGAGCAGGGAGGGGACTCACCGGGCACCAGAGGAAGGCTGCAGAGCTGGGGCGGCGGCAGGAGCGCCTGCTTCTCCAACCCGGCCAGCAGGGCGGAGACCAGGGCCTGCTGTGTGGGCGGGACCCAGAGCTGGCTGGATCCCAGGGCTGCGTCAGGACCCAGGGCCCAGGACCCTCCCGCCAGCAGCGTGGCTTCAGGGAGTGCAGGGAGAGGGCGGTGGTGTAGGAGCACCCTGGGGAGGGGCCCAGCACCATGACCGCATCTCTCCGCCCTGGGGCGCTTGGGATCTGGGGGCTCGCCCTCCCACAAGGCTGTGCTGGGGCAGCCTGCTGCAAGGGGCCACAGCTGACCTCTGAGGGGCACACAGATGTCCACTGCCCCCAAGCCTCCTCCAGAGACACCCTCCCACGAAAACCCCAGCGAGCACTCAGACTCCTGGGGAGGTTCTTCCCACCACAGCCTGGATGCCCAGCTGTGCCCCCCCACTGGCCCCCAGGACACCGGCCCCTTGGGCTCTCCCTGGGCTCCAGCTCCATGTCCGTGCTAGGCCCCCAGCTCAGACTGCACCCCACCCCCTCCCCAGCACCAGCTGCCTTGTCAGTGCTCCTGCCAGCTGGCCCCTTTCACCAGTGACCACGTCCCAGTGACCGCTGCCCAGGCCAGGGCCTCAGGGGAGCCCTCAGCATCCCAGCCCTATCAGTGAAGAGGACTCTCTGGAGGGCCGTCCCCCTCAGGGGTTCCCTGGGCCCCACCTGCACCAGCAGGACCCCACACGAAAGACCCCAAGACCTGACCTTTACTGCCCATCTGCTTGTACCCACTGACCTTCATCCCACATTTTTCCTGAAGCTCTTCTTTCCAGCTGATCTCTTAACTCAGGCAAAGACCCGACAGGTAAAGTATTCGGTGATGGAGGCTGAAACTGCTCCCCCCACCCCCAGGCAATATCAACTGCTCAGACCACCCGGACCAGTGGGAGCTCAACCCCCGACTCATGGACTCACACCTGTGCAGATTTACCTGGTGCAGTTTCTCTGTGTGACTCACCGAGGAGTAAACTCAGGTCCGTTCAGTTACAGTAGGACTTCAAAGGAAAAGCAGGGCTCTGGGAAAATGGAGACATCCCATGATGTCCGTGTGGAGATGATAATAAACCTGTCGAGTGTTCAGGTCCTCAGGGGAGCTGGGGAGGGGATGGATGGAAGCCCAGGGCTCTGCCGCAGAAGAAAGGGGGAGACTGTGGGAAGGAGTCACTGATGTGGGAAACAAAGGCAAAAGAAAAATTAAATTTCCTTACTACCCACAGCCCATGGACAAGTCCTTGAAACAGGCGGAGTGACCTTCCTCTAGGGACTCACCTGCCTCGACGTTGATACTTTGCTGAGGGCAAAAGGCAACCTTACCCCCAGGATCCTGTAAGTCTACTTTAACATATAGAAATTCCTTTGGAAACTTCCTTTATCTCTAAAGCCCCCAAGATACATGTTGGCAATCATCCCCCAAGCACATGACCCACCGATATACATCTGGAGGGTCTCATGACTTAGGTTTTATTAGACGGTAATAAATGACATTTTCCCAACAATAGCTGGCCCCCTCAGGATCCTGGAAACCTTGCTTCCAAATTCCTTAGAGACTTAACGCTATCCCTAACCCCCTCCCAACTCAAAAGTATATAATGGACCACTCCTCATGGCCCCACTGCTCCGTCCTGTCCCCGTGCTTTAATAAAACCACCTTTTTGCACCAAAGATGTCTCAAGGATTCTTTCTTAGCTGTTCATTCCGGACCCCAACGTTTCCACATCAAGTACAATCTCCCCACCTCTCAGGGCCTCACCCAAACCATCTCCCTTCCCCTGTCCCCCACGACTGGGCCTGGTGCAGTCTGATGGGCCCCCTGCTGAGCCTCCAAGCCCCCAAAGCCCCAAAGCCCCCCGGGGCCAGGCAGGCTGTCTAAGCAGGATGCCCACTGGGGCCATGGAAGGAGGCGCCCCACACACGGGCCTCATTCCCTCTGCTTAGGGATTTGGGGTTTCGGTTTGCTGTTTGTTTTTTCATTTTGAACAACACCGAAGAATGCTTAATAAATAAATAATTTAATCATTTGAAAAACTTTTATTCATAGAAGCTTTCAACAATACGGTGAAAAAATTATAAGTAAGCTATTAACAATCTTTCGTGTCAATCAATCTAGGAGCTAGCTGTTTTTCCTATGTTACAGTTACCTTTCCTCTACAAACAGAATAAGAGATCTGTGGGTTTTGTTTTGGTTTTTGTTTCCTCGTTGAAGTATAGTTGACATAAGACATCATATTAGTTTCAGGTTAGAACACAGTGACTCAGCAATTAGGTACATTACAAAATGCCCACCACCACAAGTGGTCACCATCTGTCCGCACACAAGACCACTGCAAAGTGACAGATTATATTCTCTCCCCTGTTCATCATCATTACTTATTCATTCCTAAACCGAAAGTTTGTATCTCTAATCCCCTGCCCCTATTCACCCTCTTCCCCACCCCCTTAATGTTTTAACAAGACACCAGCCTTTTTTAAATGTGGAGAGTTTACATAAAAACCTGTATTTCCAGCTTCTCTTGACAAATCAGAAGGTCTGGCTCCTGGGTGTCTTCCATCCTCCATGGCCATCATAGACCCTCCCAGCCACCTGCCCCCCCCAACCTCCCCTCAGCATCACCAAGGCCCCGAAATCCCTCCGCCTAAAGGGAGTTTCTGCAGACTCGGTGCTCCCAACGTGTATCGGCTGCAGACGACTTCAGCGTTTGAAACCTCCCTTCGGGATGGAGTTCCCGAGCAGGCTGTTTTCCGAGCTGTCTCTTGCAAACCACACACACTTTACATTGTAATAAATAACCCCGAATTTCCTCCCAAAGAGACAGAACCAGTCTATGTTCCCGCCAGCCACAAAGGCAGAGCAAACACCCTCAAATTTCTACTGTAACCTCGTGGTCCTGGTCAGCGTGCCAGAACAGACACCCTTCTGTGATGGCGGGGACGGAGGCGGCCACCTGTCTCCCTTACCCCGGGCTGGCAGGCTGGCCGGGGAGACTCGTGCGAAGGCCTACACATGGAGCCCCTCCCCAGGTGCCCCGGCCAGGGTCCTGGGGTCTTCATGGCTGAGGACCCTCACGTGGAAGGAAGAAGACCGTGGGTACTGGGCCGAAGGGACACAGGGTCTACGGCACTGGTGTGCACCCCACTCTAACCTCTGGGCCCCCAGGCAGCCAGGATCACGTCCTACTAGGCAGGGGACCCTCAGTCCCCCCCTGAAATTGACAAACAGGGGTGCCTGGAAGCCACCCTCCTCTGGGACTGCATCCAAGGTGGTCTCCAGGACAACGGGGTCTGTAGTAGGTCCATGGGAGCTCCTCTAGCAGGTCAGACGCCGCACATTCCAGGGAGGCTACCCCAACAGGGAGCTATGGCACAAATCCTCAGCTTGTGCTCTGGTTAAACCATTTGTCTCGTAAGCAGTCTCAACATTTCTCAACCTAAAGCCATTCTTTACTTGCGAAGAAGCCTCATCCAGCCCTAGATGGGAAGCCAAACATTCCAGATCCTTGCTGCCTCATACCAGCTTCCAAGGGCTGCCAGTGGGTGTTCCACAAGGTCTCTGTGACCAGCGCCATGTCCCACAGCCAGCACATTCAGAGAGCCACCTGGGCTCCTTCAGGGACTCCCGGCCCTGCTGCCCAAGCCCCTCTGGATCCCCTGGGTTCGAGTTCTTCTGATGGTCAATGTGCCCACGTGTGTTCTTTCCTGGGGCAGTTTGTCAACTTGTAATTTAGTATCAGTGACTTTCCCACCTTGTAAGTCTTTTCTACCTGCTAACCAGGTTCATACCCTCGGACCAAGTGTGCCTACTGTCCCAGAGTGGGGCCCTCACCAAAACGGTGCCTCCGAGAGGATGGATCACGGGGGGGGGGGTGCCTTCAGAGGGGTCTTCACCCTGACCAGCAGCTGTCCCAGGAGCCCCCCTCCTCACGAATTGGTGCCATGATCTCCCAGGGACGACGCGGGGGGGGGGGGGACGGGGGCCTGGGACGGGGACCCTGTCCCCGGCGCTGTCCCTCTAGTGCAGGAAGGGGATGTGTTTGGGGTCCTTTTCCGGGAACTGCAGGGCATACAAGTGGGCCATGTATTGGAGCTCAGGCATGACCATCCTCTGACACATCCGCTGCGTCTGGTTGTCCAGGCCCTGCCTGAGGTTGTAGCCCAGGATGTCGGCCTGGCCCGACTGGAAGGGGCGCAGCTGGGGGTCGGTGATCTGCGACTTGTTCTTGGCCACGCCGTCCTGCAGGCACCGCGCCATGAGCTCGCGCCGCCGCGCCCGCAGCCGTGTCACTTCGGAGCGCAGGCGCCGCGGGCCCAGCTCGGCGTGCACCCGGGCCCAGAAGGTGCGGTTGAAGTGCTGGTAGAGTCGCCAGTCCAGGGCGCACCAGCGCTTGGCGCGCGCCTGGCCCTCCAGCGTCACGCCGGCGACGCTGTGCGCGCTCCGCGAGTTGAGCCGGAAGGCCACCACGTCGTCCAGCCCCCAGCGCAGCAGGTGCCGCAGCAGCACCATGGACTCGTCGAAGTGCTCCGCGATGAGCACCAGCTGGAAGTGCCGCTCCACGTCGGCCAGGCGCGCGCGCACGTAGCCCTCGTCGTCCGCGTGCGCGTTGTTGTCGAAGCCCAGGTCGAACCACATGTTGTTCCTGGCCAGGGCATTGTGCAAGCTCGCGCTCCTGTTGTAGTAGGTCCAGGGGGAGGCCAGGAAGGCGTCCAGGCTCTCCACGCCCCTGAACGCAGGGACGTAATCCCTGTAGTACGTGAAGGAGGACTCCAGCTGGAAGACGGGGTTTCTGATGATGGAAAAGTAGAAAGTGTCGTTGGGCATGACTTTCTGCACCTGTGTGGAGATGCGGCGAGAAGGGCTGGTGACTCTCGGGTTCCTTGGGGCAACCCAGGAGGCTGACGCTCTCTTCTCCCACCTCCCCTCGGCCTCGGCCTCGGCCAGCGCAGGCCGCCTGGCTCCCCGCCGCACCCTCCACCACTGTCCAGGGGGACCCTCAAACACTTGATGTGGGCCCCGCCCTTCCCACAGCCCCCCCCCCCACTAAGCCTTTGGAAGGCAGATCAGGAAAACCCCCACCAAGGAAGTGACCTCTAAACTGAGATGCCAGTGACCCAGATGAGGAGCTGTGAAGTGTCCCCTCAAAAGCAGACCATGTGCAAAGGTTTGGGAAGCCAAAGCAGGGGTCCAGAGAAGCAGATGGTGAGAGCGGCAGGCCGAGAGGGTGCCCACATCTGATTCCAAGAGTGATGGCAGCCGACTGTCAGCGGGGGAGGGGAGCAGGGTGTGCGGCCGCCCCGCCCCCGCCCCCAGGTGAGGCTTTGGCAGGGACTGCACGTGCACACACGCACGGCCTCGGTCTCTCCAGGGTCGAGGCCACGACCACCCCGCATGCTCACACCTCGAAGGCACAACCACATGGAGAGCCTCGGATCGAGTCCCACCATCCACACCACTCCCCTCCTTTCCACGCCCAGTACCTCGGGCAGGTTGAACCTCAGGTGGTTGCACATGATGTTGAAACGCTGCTGTGGTCCATGGGGCTCCAAGCGCTCCACGTAGCGCGCCAGGAAGTACCAGGGGTAGCCCAGGTGGAAGCGCGAGCCCACGGGCAGCGCCACGGACAGGTTGTGTGTCTCCGCAAAGCGGAACAGGATGTTGAGCACCGTGCTGCTGGCTGTCTTGTGTGTCTTGAGGAACATGACGTTGATGACGGGCGGCCCCTCGGCCTGGCCCCCAAGCAGGCTGGGAGGAGAGCATGGCCACCGTCAACCAGGGAGGGTCCGTGGACCCCCAACCCCGGAGACCCCCAAACCGTCTTCCGTCACCAACCTCTCCCCCACCCAAGATCCCCTAACCCACACTTTCCCTACCAGTGACGCCAGACCCTGCACCCCCAACCTCACTGATCACTGTGCTTCCACACACCGAGAGACGCCCAACACTGCAACCCCAGAGGACCCACTGGCACAGACCTGACTGCTCCCTAAGCGGCCGCTTCCTCTGTCCCCCCACATACCACAGGTTGGGCCCCCGGGCCCTGGCACCCCCCTCTGGCCCCCAGCCTCCTCTCTGGTCCCCAGGGCACCCGACATGGCTCTGGCCCTGTGGCCTGGCGTTTCCTGGCTGACCCTCCATGCCGGGACCAGCCAACCTGACTGCAGGCTCAGAGGGGTGCTGGTGCCCACTCTTGTGATCCCAAGACAGCACCGACCCAGCTGCGACTCCAGCCTGGAGCAGCAGGTACCTTTCCGGCCCCGGTGCAAGGCCAGTGATAACCCTGGATAGAGGGGGGCAGGATCCAGAGGCCTGTGCCAGCCCTGGGGACAATGGGGGGACGAATGGAGAGACCCAGGGAGTTTGGTGCCCCCGGGGAGACCCGACCAGAGAGGTGGTGAGGCAGAGAGAGGAGACCTGGAGCCACAGGACCTCGCAGCAGCCAGGCCAAACACTGGGCCTACATGGCCATCCCTGTGGACCCTGGGCCTCACAGAGGATGAACCACTGGCAGGCAGGGGAGCAGGGGACCTGACCTTCCCGGAGCCACCATGGACCCTAGCCCTGCCTCCTAGCGCCTGGTCACCCTCTGCACACAGCAGCTCTGCCCCAAGATATGCCCAGCCCGGGCCTACTCCCACCCTCCCAGAGCCTTGCCCAGAGACCTGGGCAGCTTGTTGCCCACAGGAGACACTGGAGGGCTCCAGAAGGCTATTGGATCCCCAAAAGGAAGGGCCCACCCCTCACAGGGAGGAGGAAGCTGAGGCCCAGGGGAGAGGCATGAACCTCCATGATCACAGCCAGTGCTGGGTGCGACCCAGAGGTGGACAGGCCGGGATCGCAGGCACTGCCCTGGGAGCGGGCACCCAATGCAGAACTCACGGTGTGAGCAGCCCCACGTCCATGTGCAGGATGCCGGCCAGCAGAAGCATGGTCAGGGCCAGGAGGAGAATGGCCTGGAAGCACCTATGGGGAAGAGGGAGCCCTTCAGCCCCCAGTCAGGGGCATGGGAGGGCCAGCGCCACCCACCACCCCCACCCCTAGCCATCACTGTGTATCTGTTCCTATTGAGTATGTACCCGCACCCATCCCATGGGGACCATGGGGTGGGGGAGCTGAGGCCCAGGAAGAGCCTGAATCTTCAGATTCCACCCCTCCTCGGCCCCCTAGGGCATCCTCTGTGGCTCAGAAGGCAGGAGAAGCTGGAGGGGCAGGTATGGAGAGAGGCGAGCTGATAGGCTCTGAGCAGGGTCGCCTGGGAGACTGTGGCCCAACAGAGGCCCCTGAGCTCACACACCCCCAGGGGCACAGCAGGGGAGGGGGCTGAGAGGTGGGACATCCTGGTATTCTACCACTGGGGGAGGGGGGCCCCACAAGAGAGGCTCTTTGGAGGGTCTACGTGCGTGCCAGGCACTCAGCAGGTGGGGTGGGGGCATGGGTCCCTTCCAATCCCCATCACCCAGGGGAGATGCTGCGACCAGATCAGGGAAGAGACAGGACTGGGAGAAGGGGAGCCCCACGGAGTCAGGTGGGGACCCCCTTGTCCGGCCATCCCCTGGACAAGGGGGCTGCAGCAGCCGAACCACCATCCCACCCCGCCCCACTCCTGCCTTCCACCCTCCAAGGTGCCCCTCTTAGGGCAGGGCACTGTGGAAGCACTGGACAGCAAGTGAACTGGCCATAAGGGTCCCCCCGCCCCTGCCTACCCCAAGGCTCCATGGGGGCGCAGGGAGTGGCGGCCTGGGAGGGAATGGAAGCATCTGCTGGTCTCCTCTATAAGTATTACTGGTGTGCAGGCCACCCCAAATTCACATCCCCAGCCTGAGCTAGCCCCAAATCCCCACTGGGGTGGCAAAGGGTCCAGACTGCAGCTCCTGATCTGCCCCCCAAAGCCCCTTGTCCTTGGCAGACAGCGGTTCCTCCTACCTGCTCTGGTTCTGTGGCCCCACAAAGTGCCCATCTGTCACACCTTCAGTCTTGAGCCACGGCTGCTCTCCTCCTCCTCCAAGGCTCCTGGGACCATGGCAGCCTGCTGCCCCGGTGGTCCATGTGTGTTTCTGCCCTCCCACACGCGGCCCACTCTCCCTCAGCAGCCCGAGTGACCCTTGCATTCAAAAGCCCAGGGTGCTCAAACCCACACCCTTAATTAAAAAGCGACTCTCCAGGCCCCTCCTCTCTCCAGCCACCCCTTTCCTCTAGTCCTCGTACACCTGGCCTCAGGGCCTCTGTGCTTACTGAGGATTCAGCTGCTGCATGCCTCACCCCCAGCTCCTCCGGTCTCTGCGCCATCCCCACCTTCCCCAGTGACCTCCCTGACCCTCCTGCAGGAGCGCCCACCACCCTGACTTGTTTCTCCCCACAGCCTCCCTGCCACCCGGAGGGGTCCCATATGCCTCTGTCCGCTTATAGTCTGTACTGCCCACTGGTGCGTAAGCTCCTCGGTCCCTGGAAGAGCAACTGGCATGTGCAAGATGCTCAGGTCACATTTGCTGAGTGAATAAATAAAGCCAAGCACACATTCCCTCCCCCTGCTGTAGACTTCCCAGTTTGAGATGGCATGGGATGGAGGAGAGAGAAAGTGATGCGGCAGGGACAGGTTTGGAAGGTGGGGGAGCAAATCTGTTGGTACAGAATGTGCTGGGACCCCCAAATGGAGATACCAGCCAGTGGCTGGAAAAGGAGTCAAAGCTCAAGGAATTGTGGGGGCTGTGACACACATTTGAACGTCAGCATAAACATACCACATCACTTAGCTCCTTGGTCCCGAGAATCAGAAAACAATGGTGGATTTTCCTCGCCAATCTAGGAGTCTGGAGAGGGGAGGCTGCTGATTCTGACAGACTCCGCCCCTCCACACTGAGGACGTTGAATCTCCCCACCTCCAGGCTTGTTGCCTCATGGTCACAAGATGGCTGCCAAGTTCCAGACATCACATCAACATTTGGATCAACAAGAAGGGAGAAAGGACAGGGCCAGCCATGATAAAGACTCAAAAAGCCTTCTAGAGGCCCCTAGCAAACCTCTACTTGGCCAAAATTCGGTCACATGATCACCTCTAGCTACAAGAGGGTGCTGAGAAAGCATTATCCAAGTGTTTACAGCCTCTGTGGTGGGGGCACAGGGAGAAGGTGGTGAGTGCTCTATTTCTATAAATCTATGGGAATGGTGGGCTGCCGACTGGGCCCAAGCTGGGCCTGCTCATGGAGGCAGACGCATCTCTGAAAGAAATACAAGTGGCTGCCTCAGATGTGGCCTGGCTGGTGGCCCGGGACCCACGGGGCCAGGCCAGCAGCAGGGGCCCCTCGCAGCCCAGGGCTACCCGGCAGTCAGGCCTCTGTTCATCCCAACACTGGGGTGGCAGGCACCTCCCAGACGCCAGGTTCTGCAGACAGGATTCATGAGCCCAACAGCCCGGCACATGGAGCCACGGCCCCCCACCTGCGGGCATACGGCAGCGCGCTGGGAAAACCCCGTCTGCAGGGCCTCAGGCAGTCCGGGTTTCCAATTATTTTCCTGACATCTGACTGATAAATCTGTTATGTTGCTGCCTGTTACTGATTCCAGCCCTCGAGCACGGAAAACGTCCATATGCATCGAGGTATCTTGGGCCGTGATTTCCAGCAAGCTGACCTGCCACGTGGCTGCTCAGCGGAGAACCACGTGGACCTGCTCCCTCGACAGTGGACAGTACCACACCTGCACGTCTCACCAGGGCCTTGCCCTCATGCAGACGGGAGTTAAGCTGGGGAGAGGCAGGGGGCTCTTCTTCTGCCTGAGTCAGAATGCTGCCGGGAGGCGCTGCAACCTCTTTGGAGCCCATGGCCCCCGTCACGCCCTGCACATGGCCCGGCCATCCGACAAGTGACCTATATGGTTTAGTGGACTGTTGATTAGATTCGTTCTGCATCCGGACTTCTTGGAGAGCGGAAGCACCTACACAGACCGACTTTGCGGATGACACCCCGGGGCTTGGATTCTGAGCTCTGAGAGGGGTGACCCGGGAGGGGCTGCCCAGCGCAGACCCAGGAAGATTCCACAACCGTCCTTCCCAGGTGGGTTCCAAGTTTTCACAGCCTTCTCCAGAACACTTTCCCGGCCACCTGTTCCCCACAGACACAGATACCACGGAGTGGACTCCCAGGCCTCTCCTTGGACAAGATCTGCGGTCAGAGGGAGAGTTGCAGATGTCCCTGTGTTTGAAGACGGAAAAGGACAGAGGGGTCTCTCCGGGAGCCTGACTCTAGGGCCTGAGTCTCCCCAACAGGCTGTGCCTGGCAGGTCAGACTGTCTCATGGGCTCCAGCAACATGGAGGAGCAACTGGTACCAAAAAGGCCACCGAGCAGGGGAAGTGGGGCCGAGGGGGCTCTGCCATGGGGCCCTTGGCCCTTAGGAGGTCAAGTCATAGGTTATGAGGGGACTAGATGCCACAGCTGGATTCTAGAGCTTAGCATCTGGAAAGGACAAAGAGAGGAGCTTCCTGCTTGGATGGGGGTTTTTACATAGGGCTTTACAGAGTGCATAGGAGTGTGACAAGCAAATGGGGAAGGAATTCCAACCAAGGGGAAGTAGGAATGAGAAGCTGGCCTAGAAGAACCAGGCAAGAGGTGGGCACCTCCCTCAGGGTGACACTGGAGCAGCAGGGAGACCAGACTTGGCTAATAGGACACCTCTCTTAACCTTCCCCTGGCACAAAAGTGGATTAGTACGGGCTGACGGTTCAGTGGCAGAATATCTGTCCACGCACCACCCAGGGGAGTGGGAAGGAGGGCACAGCATATGCCCAGTCACAGCCCTCTGGCCCTGAGCCTGAACGAAGAGCAACAGGAGGCCCTCACCCCTGCACGGCTGTGGCCGGCACCCCTCCATCCTGGGGGAAAGGAGATGACGATATTTCTGCAGAAAATACTCTCAAGTTTACGGGCATCCAGGTGGCTCAGTCGGTGAAGTGTCTGCCTTCAGCTCAGGTCATGATCCCAGGGTCCTGGGATCGAGCCCCGCATCGGGCTCCCTGCTCGGTGGGGAGTCTGCTTGTCCCCCTGACCCTTCCCCTGCTTGTGTTCTCTTCCTCAAATAAATGAACAAAATCTCTCAGGGGGGAAAGACACGCTCTCAAAGTTTAATAAAAAAAAAAAAAAATAGGGCATCTGGCTCAGTTGGTAGAGCATGTGACTCTTGATCTCGGGATTGTGAGTTCAAGCCCCACAAGGGGTGTGGAGCCTACTTCAAAAAATAAATAAAATAAAATAAAATAAGATAAAATAAGATACAAAACACTCTGGAAGTTTAACATAATTCCCAAAAGAGAATTTTTAATTAGTAAGTCAACTTTAAAGTTCAAATGGAAGCAAATCATACAGTAATAGCCAGGGAAATCCTAAGTGATAATGAACAGGAGTGCCCTGTCTGTACTACAGGGCCTACGAAATCAGTCTCTGGAGCTCCTCGGTGTTTGAACAGGACGGAAGGAGCCCAGGGGCAGGGGTCGGAAGGTGGCTTTCTGGGCAGGGGGCAGAGCAGGTGGCATGAGCATAGCTCTGGAAAAGGACTGTGTTGGATTTCCACCTCACGCCATCAATCAGAATACATGCCACATGGGCCACATTTCAACGTGGCCGGTGTGGAGAGCCCAAGGCTGTCCCTCGATGTCACTGGTGTCCCGACTGGCACCACCTCTTGGGACCTCTGAATTAAAACGCACAGAGCCCTTGCCCAGGGAGGCTGTGTCCGAGGACTCATCCCATGGTCACCATGGACCCCCAACCTCAGCACCCGACCTGCTCTACCCTGTGGAGTCCCCACGGGTGGCTGCTAGCCACTGGGTGGAGGGAAGTCGCGTGCCTGGCCCGAGGCCCCACTCCAGGATGCAGCGAAGAGGCCTGTGGCCCAGAGCTGTGCTCCCAGAGGCCTCCACTGTCCCCACCTGTACAGCCTTCGCCGCGGCCCAGCTGGGCAACAGAAGGAGAAG